TGCTAGCCATCCCTAATTTAGCAGAGACAGACTAGAGAAAAGCCAACTAATCAACACCACCTACCACCAACTCCTGTGCTACTCTTTTATCAATGAATAATGGGATTGATATAATGAATAATATAATGCCCTTCATGGCTAAAAGGATGAAAATGTTTGGTGACAGGGATATGAACCCTTGACCTTCAGATTACAAGTTGAGCACCTTAATCACCAGGCCATGTTAGGCCTTCATTTTTGTATGGTTTAAACATTAAAGGAAGGTAATATATTGTAATAACCCCCATTATCTAGTCAGTTTTAACATAACATATAATGTTTATGGACAACAAGGGACCTATTGGTAAATCTTGGCTGTTTCATCCTCTAAACTAAAACTATGAAATAAAAAAATAATGACAAAAATCTTAAAGTCAGCCCTTATCATTCATATGGTTATCAAGCTTTCTCTTAAACTCACTTAAATTTACTGCTTCCACAATATTTGAAGGCAACCCATTCCAGAAACCAACCACCCTGTAAGTGAAATAAAACTGTCTTAGATGAAGATGACTCATACTATGCCAAAATTTATATTTGTGTTCCCTAGTCCTACTATTCTTTCCAGTAAGTATGAAAAAAGATGACACATCAACACTATCAATTCCCTTTACAATCTTAAATATTTCAATCATATCCCCTCTAACTCTTCTGTTTTCAAGAGAAAACAATTGCAGAAATCTTAATCATCCTCACATGATAACCCTTCTATCCCAGGCACCATTCTAGTAAACCTCCTCTGAACAGTTTCCAACAATTCAATGTCCTTCCTATGGTAAGGAGCCCAAGACTGATCACAATACTCCAAATATGGCCTAACCAGGGACCTATACAATGAAATTATAACCTCTTTAAACTTGTATTCAATATTTCTGTAAATACATCCTATTTGATATCACTGGATTGTAATGCCAGTAATGTCGGAATTGGAGGAGTGTTGTCTCAGAAAGTGGGCAAAAATGAACATGTGGTGGCCTACTTCAGTAGGGTCCTGAGTAGACCTGAGAGGAACTACTGTGTAACATGGAGGGAACTCCTTGCTATAGTAAAGAGTCTGACATATTTCCATCCTAACCTCTATGGGGCTAGGTTTACCATCAGGACAGACCACGCTGGTTAAGATCATTAAAGAACCCAGTGGGACAACTGGCAGCATTGGATAGGAAAGACAGACCAGTATAGCTACGATATTGAATATAGAGAAGGAAAATCTCATGGAGATGCTGATGAACTGAGCCGAAGACCTTG